GTTCCACAGGCTGTACAGGAGGCATGGCTGGGAGGCCTCAGGAAATTTACAATCATGGCAGAAGGTTAAAGGGAAGCAGGCACATCTTACATGGCCGGAGCAGGAGGAAGGGAGAGAAGGGGGAGGTGCTATACACTTTTAAACCAACCAGATCTCATGAGAACACACTCACTATCACAAGAACAGCAAGGGGAAACTCTGCCCCCATGTTTCAATCACCTCCCAGCAGGTCTCTCCTCCAAAACTGGGGATTAGTTTGGTATGAGATTTGGGCAGGGACACAAATCCAAACCATAGCTGGAGTCTCACTATTTTGCCCAGACTGGTCTTGAACTCCTGGCCTGACAACCCATCCTCCAGCCTCAGCTTCCCAAAGTGCTGTGGTTACAGGTGTGAGCCACCAAACCCAGCCAACATATGGATTGTGAAATGTGGAGCCATGCCTGGATCATCCAGGTGCACCTAATGTAATCACAGGGGTCCTTCTAAGAGGGAGTCTCAACAAGGTCCGAAAAGGCTATGTGGCTGGGCGAAATGGCTGACACCTGTAATCTCAGCACTGTGGGGAGGCTAAGGTGGGAGGATCGCTTGAGGCCAAGAATTCAAGACAGCCCTGGTGACACTGCAAGACCCTGTCTCTACAAAAAATTAAAAATTACCCAGGCATGGTGGTGCCTGCCTGTGGTCATGCTACTCTCGAGGCTGAGGCGAGAGGATCACTTGAGCCTGGGGATTTGAGGCTGCAGTGAGCTATAACTGTACTACAGTGTGTTCCTGCCTGGGTGACAGAGTGAAAACTTGTCTAAAAAAAGAGAGAAAGAGAGAGGGGAAGATTCTATGCTGCTGACTTTGAAGATGTAGGATGGGGAGGCAAGAAGTGCAGAGAACATCTAGAAGCTTGGAAGAGGCAAGGAAATTGACTCTCCTTGGATATCCAAGAGGAATGCGGCCCTGCCATCTATTTTAGACTCAAAACCCCCAAACTCTAAGACAAGAAATTTGTGATCTTTTAAGCCATTAAATTTGTGGTAACTTGTTACCTTAACAATGGAAAAATGATACAAAGGGAATACAAGGAGATGTTCTGGTGAGCTGGAAGCTTGCCCAGCTGGGAGAAATCTAACAGAAATTTACTTGGGACCAGTAACAAGACTAGGGAAAGGAAAAGGCTAGAAATCAACAAATGGGCAGATAAAAAGGGTCAGAGAATATAGAAATGGGAAGATTCCCAAGAACTGAAGAGAATGGATATATTAGTTTGCTGGGGCTGCCATAACAAAATAGCACACACAAGGGTGGCTTAGATGATGGAAATTTATTTGCTCCGTCAGACACGGTGGCTCATGCCTGTAATCCCAGCACTTTGGCCAAGTGGGTGGATCACCCGAGGTCAGGAGTTCGAGACCAGCCTGGCCAACATGGCAAAACTCCATCTCTATTAAAAAAACAAAAATTAGCAGGAAGTAGTGGCACACACCTGTAATGTTAGCTACTCGGGAGGCTGAGGCAGGAGAATTGATTGAACCTGGGAGGCGTAGGTTGCAGTGAGTTGAGATCCCACCATTATACCCTAGCTTCAGTGACAGAGCAAGACTCCCCATCTCAAAAAAAAAAAAAAAAAAGAAAGAAAAAAAATTTATTTGTCACAGTTCTGGAGGCAAGAAGTCTAATAGCTGGGTGACTGCTGGATTGCTTTCACACATCTGCCTTCTTGCTGTGTCTTCACATGGTCTTTCCTCGGTGTGAAAACATCCCTGGTGCCTCATTTTTTCCTTTATATTTTAAATTAAAAAAAGAAGAGAGAGACAAGGGCTCGCTATATTGCCCAGGCTGGTTTTGAGCTCTTGAGCTCCTGAGCTCAAGTGATCCTCCTGCCTTGACCTTCCAAAGGGCTGGGATTACAGGTGTGAGGCAACATGCCTGGCCCCTGGTACCTCTTTGTGTGTCCAAATTTCCTTTTTTTTTTTGAGATGAAATCTTGTTCTGTCACCCAGGCTATAGTGCAGTGGCACGATCTTGGCTCACTGCAACCTTCCCCTCCTGGGTTCAAGCGATTCTCCTGACTCAGCCTCCCGAGTAGCTGAGGTTACAGGCCACCACACCAGACTAATTCTTGTATTTTTAGTCGAGATGGGATTTCATCATGTTGGACAGGCTGGTCTTGAACTCGTGACCTTAAGTGATCTTCCCACCTCTGCCTCCTAAAGTGCTGGGATTACGGGTGTATCTTCAAACGCAATCACATTCTGAGGTACCGGAAATTAGGGCTTCAACATATGAATTTTGGAGGGCATCATTAAACTGGGTTGATAAATTGAGGGACAGCCTACAAAATAACTGGTCTTGCTTGAAGACTAAGGCCATTTGATAGTTCAACACAATGTAAAGAGATCTGGGATTGGAGGCCAGACTGGGAAAGGAATTTAGGGTGACGAACAGCGATCATTTGAATAAGATCTGTAGATTAGGTAAGCACATAATCTCCATGCTTGTTTCCTTGTTTTGATCATTGTACTATGGTCAGGTGCAGGTGTACGTCAATATTTTGGGAAGCTTGGGTGAAGAGTATGTGATAACTCTTTGTACTATTTTTGCACCTTCTTTCAAAGTCTGCAGTTATTTCAAGCAAAATTAGAAGTTAAAAATCAAGGCCATGCATGGTGGCTTATGCCTGTAATCTCAGCACTTTGGGACACCAAGGCCAGCAGATCATCTGGGGACAGGAGTTCGAGACCAGCCTGGCCAACATGGTAAAACCCTGTCCCTACTAAAAGTACCAAAATTAGCCGGGCACGGTGGCTTCAACATATGAATTTTGGAGGGCATCATTAAACTGGGTTGTAGTCCCAGCTACTTGGGAGGCTGAGGCCAGAGAATTGCTTGAACTTGGGAGGTGGAGGTTGCAGTGAGCCAAGATCTTGCCACTGCACTATAGCCTGAGCAACAGAGCAAGAGCAAAAAAAAAAAAAAAGAAAAGAAAAGAAAAGAAAAGAAGGAAGGAAGGAAGGAAGGAAGGAAGGAAGGAAGGAAGGAAGGAAGGAAAAGTTAAAAATCAGAGCTTGATTTGGTGGCATGTGCCTGTAGCCCGGCTACTAGGGAGGCTGAGGTGGGAGTATCGCTTGAGCACTGGAGTTCAAGACCAACCTGGGCAACATAGCAAGACCCTTCTCTCAAAAATAAATAAAGGCAATCGTTAAAAGTAAAAAAATTAAAAATTAAATACATGTAGGGTAAATAGAGAAGAGGAAGTGAGGGAGAGAGAACGGGTTTGGATGTGATTGTGAAAGAGGAGAAAAAAAGGCAGGAAAAGCCGGACGTGGTGACTCATGCCTAGAATCCCAGCACTTAGGGAATCCAAGGCAGAGGATGGCTGGAAGCCAGGGATTCACACCAGCCTGGGGAACATAGCAGGACCCTGTCTATACAAAAAAACTACAAAATTAGCCAGGCATGGTGGCAGGTGACTGTAGTCCCGGTTACTCAGGAGGCTGAGGCAGGAAGATTGCTTGAGCCCAGGAGTTTAAGGTTGCAGTGAGCTATGATTGCACCACTGCACTTCAGCTTGGGCAACAGGGTAAGACCCTATATCAAAAAAAAAGAAAGGAAAGAAAGAAAGAAGGAAAGAAGAAAGAAAGAAAGAAGACAAAAATGAATTCTGTAAGGTGAAAGACTCCCCCGTGTCTGTTGCTTGGGACAGTGCCTGGAAGCTGGGAGCTCAGCATATGTTTTGGGGAGTGACAATCATTGAGGCACAGACTGAAGAAGAGAAGGCAGACTGGGCCTCATCTCACATTCATAGAATCCCTCAAATTGTAACTTTTGACATTTTCTCTAGAGGAAAGTCACACAATCAATTCAGTGTATTCTGTGTGTTGCAAATGTGAATTCTTGGTCTGCCAACATTTTTTTTTTTTTTTTTTTTTTTGAGACAGAGTTTTGCTCTTGTTGCCCAGGCTGGAGTGCAATGACTAAATCTCTGCTCACCGCAACCTCCGCCTCCCAGGTTCGAGCGATTCTTCTGCCTCAGCCTCCCGAGTAGCTGGGATTACAGGCGCTTGCCACCACGTTCAGCTAATTTTTGTATTTTTAGAGACAGGGTTTCACCATGTTGACCAGGCTGGTCTAGAACTCCTAACCTCAGCTGATCCGCAGGCCTCAACCTCCCAAAATGCCGGGATTACAGGCACAAGTCAACTTTTGCTATCCCTTCATTTCTCTCTTTCTCTCTCTCTTTTTTCTAGGCTGGAGTGCAGCGGCCCTATTGTGGCTCACTGCAGCCTTGAACTCCTGGGCTCAAGTGATCCTCCCACCTCAGCCTCAGCTATCAGCGCACACCACCAAGCCTGACAAATTACCATATTCTTTTGTATGTTTGTTTTGTTTGTAGAGACGGGGTCTTTCTGTGTTGCCCAGGCTGATCAGGAACTCTTGGCTTCAAGGGATCCTCCTGTGTAATCTTATCAAAGTGCTGAGATTACAGGCATGTGCCACTGCGCCCGCCCAAATGCACCCTTTTTTAGTGTACAATTCCATGGTTTCTAATATATTCGCAAAGCCATGCAACCATCACACCTATCTAATTTCAAAATGTTTTCATCACTCCAAAAAATAATCCCGTATGGGAGGCCGAGGCGGGCGGATCACTCGAGACCAGCCTAGCCAGCATGTTGAAACCCGGTCTCGGCTAAAAATACAAAAATTAGCTGGGCGTGATGGCGCACGCGCAGTCCCGGGTACGCGGGAGGCTGAGGCAGGAGAATAGCTTGAACCTGGGAGGCGGAAGTTGCAGTGAGCCGAGATCACATCACGAGATTCCGACTCAAAATAATTAATTAAAACAACAATAAATAAATAACCCCATACCTTCTGCCTCGGTGGCTTTGCCTGTTCTGGGTATTTCGCGTGAATGACCTAAGCCACGGGTGGGCTGGGCCCCTTTCAAAAGCTCAGCCTCCACGTCGGCCCGTGGCCTCCGGATTGGACGGCGCGGCGGGGTACGTGCGCGGCGCCCAATCGCCCCGGAGCACCTGGAGGAGGCAGGTGCAGGCGCGGCCGGCGGCGCCGCAGAGGCTGCTGCAGGCGCGGGAGGCCCGGACGCGGTACGGAAGCCGCCTACTCCGCCGGCTCCTGATCGCGGGTGCCCACGGCGCGGACATGGCGGGCTGGTGGCCGGCGTTGTCGCGCGCGGCCCGGCGCCACCCGTGGCCCACCAATGTGCTGCTCTACGCCGCGCTCTTCTCGTCCGGGGATGCGCTGCAGCAGCGGCTGCGCGGCGCCCAGAACGACTGGCGCCAGACGCGGCGCGTGGCCACCGTGGTGGTGACCTTCCACGCCAACTTCAACTACGTGTGGCTGAGCCTGCTGGAGCGCGCGCTCCCGGGCCGCGCGCCACGAATCGTGCTGGCCAAAGTACTGTGCGACCAGGTGGTTGCCGCGCCCATAGCTGTCTCGGCCTTCTACGCCGGTGAGGGGCCGGGAGGGGGTCTGGGAGGTGGGACCCAGTATTGGGGGACTGGAGGCAGGGACTCGGGGATCAAGCGGCTGGAGGAGGGAGGGCGCTGCAGGGGCCTGGGGACGCGGACTGCTTCAGCGGCCTGGGAGAGCCGGGTCAAGAGCTGGAGGCTGGGGTGTTTGATGAGGAGAAGTTGGGGTGGGGGGCACTGGCTGGGGAGCCTGGAAATTGGGAGCCAGAGGTCCACTGGGTCAGGAATTGAGGGGACTAGGGTCAGGGCTGACTCTGGGGTTGGGTGTAGGCGAAGGCTGGAGGTAGGCAGGACGGGGGAGGGTTTTTCCCGCGAAAAAGGCCCACGGGAAAATCAAGGAGATCCCAGCTCAACGCCATAGCAGCTGTAAAGACCGTGAACCAGTCGTGGGGAAGGGAAGGGACCCACCTGCTGTTCAGTAAATCCACACCTGGGTGGCTCACGCCTATAATCCCAGCACTTTGGGAGGCCGAGACAGGTGGATCATGAGGTCAAGAGATCGAGACCATCCTGGTCAACATGGTTGGTGAAACCCCGTCTCTACTAAAAATACAAAAATTAGCTGGGCATGGTGGCACACGCCTGTAGACCCAGCTACTCGGGAGGCTGAGGCAGGAGAATTGCTTGAACCCAGGAGGCGGAGGTTGCGGTAAGCCGAGATCGCGCCATTGCACTCCAGCCTGCATAACAAGAGCGAAACTCCATCTCAAAAAAAAGAAAATCCACTCCTGGGGCTCCGGGGCCAACACAGGAATAAAATGCAAGGGGACCCATGGAGGTGGAATGTGAGATTATGCCTGAATCCTCAGAAAATTCATGCCCAAGGTCCTAGTCCTGCTTTGGTAACAAGATTTTCCCCTGGGGTCCCACGGATAACAGGGGACCTTGTATTCCTGCCGTGGAGGACTATATACCTGTGAGGGTTCAGGTAACCCTCTCTTTAGAATATCTGACCCGGGCCTGGGGTGTAGGAGACAAGGGATTGACCGTGGAAACCTTCACTGCCTAAAATAATAACAATGGAAATGTTACCTGAAAAATACAAGGGTTTATTCCCCTAAGGAGGCAGGTTTTGATCAATGGGAGTTTTATTACTTGGCACGAGTAAGGAAGACGCTGGGCATATTCTCCAAAGCACTGTGTCCCCTAGAGAAAGAGACAGGAGGGTTTTATGGGATGATGGAGAGGGGAGAAGGGTGAGGGTACATAATTGCATGTAGAGTAGGGGTTCCAGTGGCGCAGATGCAGAGTCAGCATGTTAGTACATAGGTTGTGTGTTATAGTCATGAAGCTATAGCTTCTCCTGGGATGAAGGCTTTAGCATGGTAATGAGAGTTAACTTGGGTTCATCTGTAAGTAACCTGGGTTCAGTTAGGAGCTGGGGTTTTTTTACTTTTTTATTTATTTTATTTTATTTTTATTTTGGGGGCGGGGATAGAGTCTTGCTCTGTTGCCCAGGCTTGAGTGCAGTGATGTGATCTTGGCTCACTGCAACCTCCACTTCCCGGGTTCAAGCGATTCTCCTGCCTCTGCCTCTACCTCCCAGGTTCCAGTGATTCTTGTGGCAGGCCTGGCTAATTTATTTTCGTATTTTTAGTAGAGATGAGGTTTGACCGTGTTGCCCAGGCTGGTCTCGAAGTCCTGAGCTCAGGAAATCCACCCGCCTCAGCCTCCCAAGCTGCTGGGATTAGAGGCGTGAGCCACCTCACCCACTGGAGCTAAACAAGTGTCCTCATTCCACCCAGGGTTGGGGTAGGACAGGTTGAGGGCAGGAGGCTGTAAAACAGGATGACTGTTCAAGTTGGTTAAATTCCAGTAATCTTTGGAGATCCTCCCTGTCTGCTTACAGAAAGAGCCCTATGGCCTCTATAATCATCGCAATTTCTATAGCCTTGACGGGATTGCGGTGGGTAACTGGGGAGAAAAGCTCTATGGGTCTTCAGCCTGACCTTGGGATTGGGGATCACAAATTTCCCCCCAAATGGGAGAGGACTTTTCCTAAGGGCTGTTGATGCTTTCTAATACCAGGTTGAGGTCAGGCAAGCCACTGCCTTGAAGAAACCTACTCTGTCCCCTGAGCCTTATTTTTAAGAGTCAGATTCATTTCCTTTCCCAACAGATCCCACCAGAAATACAAATGACCTGATTACCTATTGCCATTGCAGCCAGCTACATGGCTGATGGGGTCAGTCGGTCAGAACAGACAGCCTGAGGGCTAGGGCCTCCTGTTTTATCAGAAGGTCTGTGCCAGGTTCCTCAAAGACCAGTGAGATTGTTCTTTTTTTTTCTGTGTGTGTGTTTTTTTTTTTTAACAGACTCTTGCTTTATTACCCAGGCTGGAGTATACAGTGGCGTGATCTCAGCTCACTGCTACCTCTGAGTTCAAGCAGTTCTTCTGCCTCAGCCTACCAAGTAGCTGGGATTACAGACACACACTACCATGGCCGGCTAATTTTTGTATTTTTAATGGAGGTGGGGTTTCAACATGTTGGCCAGGCTGGTCTCGAACTCCTGACCTCAAGTGATCTGCCCACCTTGGGCTCCCAAAGTGTTGGGATTATAGACATGAGCCACCACACCTGAGACCGTTCTTATTATTCTCATGTTACAAATGAGGAAACTGAGTCTCAGAAGGGTTATGTGACTCACCCAAAGAGAACACGATCCAGGCACTTGATGCTCTCATGGTGAAAAGGTTGACAGTGTGCCTGGACTGATAGGTGCTGAGTAACTAACAAGACTTGAACCTATGTCCAGGCCAAGGTCTCTGATACAGATTCCTAGCCAGATTGCTACTTTATTTGGTTTTCAGTTTTTTCTGATTCAGTTTTCCTCATCTTGTATTACAATGAAGGGGGAAGTGGAAAGGGATGGATTGGAGGTTTGTGTAAGGCTCTACTTGGAAATTGCATTAATCAGATGATCTTTGTGCTGGGGCCATCTTGGGGAATCTGAGTCGTAACAGATTAAGAGCTCTGCTTGGGAATCGGACACCTGGGTTAAACTCTGTCTGCTATTAACCTCTCTAAGCTCTTTTCCTCCTTTGTAACTCTACCTACCTTAGCAAGTTGTAAGGAGAGGAACATGAAATGAGGCGCATAAAGTACTTAGCATTTAATTAATGCTGGCTAAGAGGAACACAGTATTACCAGTATTTTGCTGGGTCATGTAAGAATCTTCTGCAATTAACTAATAAAGCTCTTATTTCCCCTCCTTTGTAATCAGGGATTGGAAAGAATTTTTAAAGTGCTGTCAGTTTTACAACCCTTCCTAAAATACAAGAGCTTTGCCTTGCTACCTGAATTTCTTTTTTCTTTTTTCCTTTTCTCTTTTTGAGACAGGGTCTTGCTCTATTCCCCAGGTTGGAGTGCAGTGATGTGATCACAGCTCATTGCAGGCTCGACTTCCTGGGTTCAAGCGATCCTCCCACCTCTGCCTCTGGAGTAGCTGGGACTACAGGCGTGCACTACCATACCTGGCTGGTTCTTAAACTGTTTTGTAGAGACAAGGTCTTGATGTATTACCGAGGCTGTGACTTTCTCTTCAGGGATGTTGAAGATCAAAGTTTTCAAAGGGTTTTTAGGAAGGCTGAATTGATGTTCCACTTTCAAATTTTGATTAGGGTAATACTGATGGGAACTTTGAAAATATTTGGGTCCACTAAATAAAAAAAAATACTTATTTTTATTTTTTTGAGATGGAATCTCGCTCTGTCACCCAGTCAGGAGTGCAGTGATGTGATCCTGGTTCACTGTAACTTCCGTCTCCTGGGTTCAAGCGATCCTCCTGCCTCAGCCTACCAAGTAGCTGGTATTACAGGCATGCACCACCATGCCTGGCTAATTTTGTATTTTTAGTCAAGACAGGGTTTCTCCATGTTGATCAGGCTGGTCTTGAACTCCCAACCTCAGGTGACCTGCCCATGTTGGCCTCCCAAAGTGCTGGGATGAGCCACTGCACCTGGCCCACTGGCTTTTTGTTAAAGATAGAAATTAAAATTTCAAAATGTTCAACATTTCACAAAATGTTTGGAAGGCAGAGAAAAGTCACCAGTAGACCCACTATTGTATTTGTTTGTTTTTGTGAATTGTTACAGTTTTTGAAAAAATAATTGTTCTCCTGTGACTTTTATACTCTGCTATTCTCGATTCATATTTATCATTCCTTTAAAATTTACCTAGTTTTAGAATGGAGATTATGTTCTTCTTTTTGTTTTGAGACAGGCTCTTGCTGTGTTGCCAAGGCTGGAGTACAGTGACATCATCACAGGTCACTGTAGCCTCCACCTCCCAGGCTCAAGCAATCCTCCCACCTTGGCCTCCTGAGTAGCTATGACTACAGGTGCGCCACCACACCTGGCTAAGTTTGGAATTTTTTGTAGAGATGGGGTTTCGCCGTGTTGCCCGGGCTGGTCTCTTAACTCCTGGACTCAAGCGATCTCCCTGCTTCAACCTCCCAAAGTGCTAGGATTACAGGCATGAGGCACCACGCCTGGCTATGTTCTTTTCACCGTAGGGTCAGAAAGGTCATTGATGGATGTTAGTGATGGTTACTTTGCATATTGGAATGGGAAACTTCAACATGAACTGTTATACAGTACTCTTATGAATCTCTTAAAATTCTTTCGGTGTTTTTTGCAAATAGGTATGAGCATTCTCCAGGGAAAGGATGACATATTTTTGGACCTGAAACAGAAATTCTGGAATACCTATATGGTAAGACAGGCTTTTGAAAGTATAATCAGTACCTTTTTGGGTATATATGTATATATTTATAAGGATTTAAAAATTTTTTAATTGACACATACATGCAGATAATTCAGTACACACGTGATTACTCAGTACGCATGTCTAATCATATCTCTGCGCACACACGCTTATGTGTGTGTGTGTGTTTGTACTTTTTTTAATTAAACAAATTTTTTTTGAGACAGGGTCTCGTTCTGTTACCCAGGCTGGAATGCAGTGGTGTGATCATGGCTCACTGCAGCCTCAACCTCCTGAGCTCAAGCAATTCTTCCACCTCAGCCTCCTGAGCAGCTGAGAGTACAGGCATGGGCCACCACACCCAGCTAATTCTTTCTAAATTTTTTTGTAAAGACAGAGTCTCACTATGTAGCCCAGGCTGGCCTCAAACTCCTGTGCTTCAGCAATCCTCCCATCTCAACATTAAGTACATTTTAATAAAACTGATTATTAAATTAGAGCTCCAGTTTGGCTGGCAGAAGGGTCCCATATTTTGACAGAGAAATCTTAGTTATTTTGATAGATGAATGAGGAGAGGCTTTAAGAGTATCTATACTTCTCATGAATTGGAAAGAAATAATATCTCTAGGCTGGGCAGAGTGGCTCATGCCTGTAATCCCAGCACCTTCAGAGGCTGAGGCAGGTGGATCACTTGAGGTCAGGGGTTTGAGACCAGCCTGGCCAACATGGTGAGACCCCATCCTATTAAAAATACAAAAATTAGCTGGGCATGGTGGTGCACATTTGTAATCCCAGCTACTCGGGAGGCTGAGGCAGGAGAATCACTTGAACCTGGAGACAGAGGTTGTAGTGAGCCGAGATCACATCACTGCACTCCAGCTTGGGCAATAGAGCGAGACTTCATCTCAAAAAAGAAATAATATCTATGCATTTTAGTCCATGTTCTCAATGATTTCTGACTTTATTATATGAACTCTTATTAATAATCACAATTTATTTTGTAAATTTTGCAGCCAAAGGAAGAATTTATTTTGTAAATTTGGGGTCCTATTTGCAAAATAGGGATTGTAGACTGTAAGTGGCTTAATGGAATCCTTCCCACATTCAGAGTCAATGTTTTCAGGTGAGCATTCTGCGGGCTCTTGCTGAAAAGAACTTTATTATCAAAAAGGTACTGATAGCAAAGGAGAATGTTTTCCACCCAGGGTTATTCCAAGGTTTCAGGCAAATCAGCTGTTTTACTGTTTGCTCAGCACAAACATAAACAGTCCAGTCTAATACATATTTATTCATTTATTCAGTTAAGATTTATTGAACAGTGTCATAAGGCCTTGCAAAATCGGGGATGATTTTCATCTCTGCCCTAGAGCATGTTCGATTGCATTCATCACAAGGAGATGAATCTTTGGGATTCCAGAATGTACACAGACGCCTAGGCCTTCACATGTTCTTCATTCCCTATCAAAAATAGTGTTGAGCCACAACTACCTATTACCTGTACAGCTTCTAGCATCATCTGTTGGATGGTACCGAGCCCCTGAGCAAGCATCACTTGATGGCTAGAGGCAGAGGATGGAGAGGTTTGAAGCCAGAGGCTTCCCCTGAGTCTTTATTCTTAGGAACAGTAACTACAAAGAATGTGTTCAGAACTCTTGTGATTTCTCTTAGGGCAGAAATTGAGAGCCCCATGCTGACAACCAGATGTGATTTTCTTCTGTTTTTGTTTGTTTGGTTGTTTTTTTTTTTTTGAAGACAGAGTCTTACTCTGTCTCCTAGGTTGTAGTACAGTGGCACCATCTCCGCTCTTTGCAACAACCTCTGCCTCCCGGTTCAAGCAATTCTCCTGCCTCAGCTTCCTGAGTAGCTGGCATTACAGACTTGCACAACCATGTCCAGCTAATTTTTTAATTTTTCAGTAGAGATGGGGTTTCACCATGTTGGCCAGACTGGTCTTGAACTCTGACCTCAGGTGATCCGCCTGCCTCAGCCTCCCAAAGTTCTGGGATTAAAGGTGTGAACCGCCACACCCAGCCACTTCTCTGTTTTAATTTGGAAAAAGGAACAAGCTTTTCCATTATGTTGTAAAGTCTATAGAGATATGTACAGCTAACATTTTTTTTTTAAGAGCAAGAAGTAGGGAGCTCACACCTGTAATCCCAGCACTTTGGGAGGCTGAGGCAGGAGGATCACTAGAGTCCGGGAGTTTGAGACCAGCCTGCACAACATAGTGAGACCCCATCTCTACCACAATAAAGTAAAATAGCTGGGTATAGTGGCATGCATCTCTGGTCCCAGATGCTTGGGAGGCTGAGATGGGAGGATCCCAAGCCTGGGAGACTGAGGCTGCAGTGAGCCATGATTGCGCCACTGGGCTCCAGCCTGAGTGACAGAGTGAGACCCTGTTTCAAAAAAAAAAAAAAAAAAGAGAGAAGGAAGTAGAATTGGGAAAGAAGAAGCTTCAGGCCAGCACTTTTGGAGGCCGAGGTAGGCAGATCACGATGTCAGGAGATCGAGACCATCCTGGCCAACTTCGTGAAACCTTGTCTCTACGAAAATACAAAAAAATTAGCTGGGCGTGGTGGCACATGCCTGTAGTCCCAGCTACTCAAAGAGGCTGAAGCAGGAGAATTGCTTGAACCCAGGAGGCAGAGGTTACAGTTGCCAAGATTGCACCACTGCACTCCAGCCTAGCGACAGACCAAGACTTTGTCTCAAAAAAAAAAAAAAAAGAAAGAAGCTTCAGGCAAGGATTTGTAAATGATGAACAGAACCATGGGAACATTTGCATACTGTTTTAAAAAAATAGTGGTTACAATGAGTGAGTCTCATCTACCCTCATGAAAAGAAAGAGGGTATACCTGCAGTCTGAAGCCCAGCCCCTTTGGAGATTTTTGGGCAAGATTTGCTGTAATAAGAAACTGTCTTCCAGGTGCTGTACTAGGTGTTTGTGGAAGATACCCAAAAAAAACATATAAAACACAGATTCTGTCCTAAAGGGACTTAGATTCTAGTGGGATAAATAGATAAATAGACAAGTCATTAACTAGAATTCCACGAGAAATGCTCTCAGAACCCATGGGTACTTAGCACAATGAGGAGGTGTCGGGGTGGGGATCCAGGAGGTCTTGCTGGGGCCAGGCACCAGTGGCTCATGCCTGTAATCCCATCATTTTGGAAGGCCAAGGTGGGTGGATCTTGAGTTGGGGAGTTTGAGACCAGCCCGGGCAAAATGACAACAAAACCTCATCTCTACAAACACAAAAATGAGCTGGGCATAGTGGCTCACACCATGCTACTCAGGAGTCCCAGCTACTCAGGAGGCCGAGGTGGGAGAATCTCCTGAGCCCAGGAGGCTGAGGCTGCAGTGACCTATGATTGTGCCACTGCACTCCAGCCTGGGCAACAGAGTAAGACCTTGTCTCAAAAAAAAAAAAAAAAAAAAAAAGCAGCCGGGCGCAGTGGCTCACGCCTATAATCCCAGCACTTTGGGAGGCTGAGGCAGGTGGATCACACGAGGTCAAGAGATCGAGACCATCCTGGACAACAAGGTGAAACACTGTCTCTACTAAAAATACAAAAATTAGCTGGGCATGGTGGCACGTGCCTGTAGTCCCAGCTACTCGGGAGGCTGAGGCGGGAGAATTGCTTGAACCCAGGAAGCAGAGGTTGCAGTGAGCCGAGATTGCGCCATTGCACTCCAGCCTGGATAACAAGAGCGAAACTCTGTCTCAAAAAAAAAAAAAAAAAAAAAGCTATAATTATACACATACTGGAGGACAGGGCATCCCAGGGACAGAAGGAGCTGAGTAGAGTTGACAATATGTAAAGCACCGTGGTATGCCTGGAGGGGAGAAACCACAGGCAGTTTGGTGTTCACAGAACATTTGCTGAGCAACTTGGAATGAGTTTGGATCCTGGAGACTGTTGAATGCCCCGAGCTGAGGATCTTGAACTTCACCCTCAGATAATGGCAGCAAAGGAAACCAAAGTTAATTTCTTATGTAACCAAGCTCACATAAGAAATAAGGAAGCACGCTGTGTGCCGTAGCTCACACCTGTAATCCTAGCATTTTGGGAGGCTGAACCAGAAGGATCCCTTGAGGTTATGAGTTCGAGAACAGCTTAGGCAACATAGCAAGACCCTGTCTATATTTATTTTAAAAAAATAAAACTGGCTGGGTGTGGTGGCTCACACCTGTAATCCCAGCACTTTGGGAGGCCATGGCAAGTGGATCACTTGAGGTTAGGAGTTTGAGACCAGTGTGGCCAACATGGTGAAACCCTGTCTCCACCAAAAGTACAAAAGTTAGCCAGGTGTGGTGGTGCACACCTGTAGTCCCAGCTACTTGGGAGGCTGAGGCACGAGAATCACTTGAACCCGGGAGGTGGAGGTTGCAGTGAATCTAGATCACACAACTACACTCCACCTGGGCAACAGGGAGAAACTCAAAAAAAATTAAACAACAACAACAACTATATATATGAAACGAGAAAGCAGTGGGCATAGGGAAGATTTGAGGGATATTTAAGAAGGTAGAATGAGTAGGTCTGAATGATTGATTGGAAGTAGGGGTAATGGAATCAGGACACCTCTAGGAAGCCCACAGTTCTAGTTTAAGCAACTACATGGGTACTGGTTCATCACTTGATTTAGGACATAGAGAAAACGGAGCCAAAAAAAATGAGATGAGTTCAGTTTGGGAAATGCTGAATGCCAGATGTCTTTGGGCTATTCAGAGATTGCTGAAGCACAAGGAAGAGTTCACGGCAGTGTTTCATTATTTTTAGTGCTCACACGCCCCAGATTTGGCCAGTGGGAGTCCCTCCAAGCTCGTTCCTGTGTCCTATGACGTCACCCAGCTTCTTTCTCCATTTCTTCTTTTGTAAGCCATTTCCTTTCTGGCATGTTAATATGTTCCTGGACTGTCTTATACCTTGTATCTTGTACCTGCCCTGCTCGGCCCTGGCCCTGGCATCAGCCAGTTCTCCGATGAGTCCTGATTCCTTTTTATGGGAGAATGGTGTAAGAACAAAACTACTTGTACTACTACATGATACTACATTCTGATGAGAAAAAAAAAAGAAAAACACAGTCATAAGAAATAAAGCCATGGTCAGGCACAGTGGCTCATGCCCTCATGAGGCGGAGGCAGGAGGATTGCTTGGGGCCAAGAGTTCAAGACCAACCTGGCCAACATAGTGAGGCCCCCATCTCTATAAAATAAAAAGAAAGAAAACTGGAAAGCTATGTTTGGATGAGTTTAGTCTTCTGATTATTTTTGCTAAAGTTAAATTTTTTTTTATTTTTTATTTTGAGACAGAGTCTCATTCTGTCACCCAGGCTAGAGTGCAATGGCATGATCTTGGCTCACTGCAACCTCCACCTTTTGCATTCAAGCAATTCTCCTGCCTCAGCCTTCTAAGTACCTGGGATTGCAGGTTCTCAACACCACACCCTGCTAATTTTTGTTTTTTTTACTAGAGATGGGTTTTCGCCATCTTGGCCAGGCTAGCCCCAAACTCCTGACCTCAAGTGATCCACTCACCTCAGCCTCCCCCAAAGTTCTGGGATTACAGGCATGAGACACCATGCCCAGCCTTAAATTTTTAAATATACTTTAAATATAAAATATATATTATATGCACTATCTACTTTAAAATATAAACATAAATATTATAAAGCTTTTGTTTTAACTGTTCATTTTAGAAACCTCAGAAAATACAAATTAGGAAAAAGAAGAAAATAAATCTCTAATATCACTTTTAAGGACTATTTTAAAAACCTCTAGCTTTTTTTTTTGAGATATAATTTACATATGAAGCCTTCTTTTTAAAAAAAATTCATAATGGTGGCTTTTTCATCGGAATGCATAGAATAAAGCTTGTTAAAATGTCTAAGATATTTTGTAACATTTAAAAATTTCAGCTAAACTTGTCCTATAGCATCACATGGTTTGAATATATTAATAGAAAATCATTCATAAACCACGGTTTGGCATATAGTTTTAAGAATTTGAAACTGGGCTCAGTGGCTCACGGCTGAAATTCTAGCATTTTGGGAGGCCGAGGCAGGTGGATCAGGAGGCAGGCTGAGGTCAGGAATTCAAGATCAGCCTGGCCAACATGGTGAAACCTGAAACCCTGTCTCCACTAAAAATACAAAACTTAGCCAGGCATGGTGGCGGATGCTTGTAATCCCAGCTACTCAGGAGGCTGTGGTAGGAGAATTACTTGAAACCAGGAGGCAGAGGTTGCAGTGAGCCGAGATCGCACCACTGCACTCTAGCCTGGGCAACAGAGTGAGACACCATCTTAAAACAAAAAACAGAATTTGGCCAGTAAGGTGGCTCATGACTGTAATTCCAGCACTTTGGGAGGCTGCCATGGGACTATTGCTTTTGCCTGGGAATTGGAGAGCAGCCTGGGCAACATAGACACCATGTCTCAAAAAAAAATTAAGAAGAAAGAATTCATTGATGATTCTGTATTGACAAATATATTCCTGCATCATTTGTTCATGGTAACCAGGAAATTATAATACATAAATATATGCTATATCATCAAAGCATTCGTCTTGCAGAATTGGTACTAATTCTATTAGACTTTTCATTCTGGAGCTAAATATAAATCAATACAAATGTCTTGTACCTGATAGCTTTTTTTCCCACAACTCCCCAACCCTCTTCACTCTAGAGGCCTTAAGTAGTCTCATTTAATCAGCTTAGTCTGAAATATAATACTACCTCAGCATCTTGTTGGCCTATTATTGCTTACTTTTTTTATGAAATGAACTCTGCAATTGTTTTGTGTGATGCAAAGGCATTCTAGGCCAGGTGTGGTGGCTCAGGCCTGTAATCCCAGCACTTTGGGAGGCCAAGGTGGGCAGATCATCTGAAGTCGGGAATTTGAGACCAGCCTGGCTAACATGGTGAAAACCCTGTCTCTACTAAAAATACAAAAATTAGCCAGGTGGGGTGGTGTGTGCCTGTAATCCCAGCTAGTCAGGAGGCAGAGGCATGAGAATTGCTTGAACCCAGGAGGCAGAGGTTGTAGTGAGCTGAGATCGTGCCACTGTACTCCAGTCTGGGAGACAGATTGAGATTCTATCTCAAAAAATAAAATAAAAGACATTCTAATAAAGTTTGCTTTTTTTTTTTTTCCAATTCCAGAGCGGACTGCTGTACTGGCCCTTCGTACAGGTGAGTTCTGCCTACTCAGGAATATTAACTCAGGGCTTTGGTTTCCATGTGGCCCTAACGGACCCTCTCTCTGTTCCAGCTGACCAACTTCAGCCTCGTTCCTGTTCAGTGGAGAACGGCTTACTCGGGGCTCTGTTCTTTTCTCTGGGCCATCTTCCTCTGTTTTTCCCAGCAGAGTGGTGACGGCACATTCAAGTCAGCTCTTCCCTTTTTTCATACCAAGGGGAGCAGTGCTATCAAAGGGTCCCCGGAGAAATGAGAATTCAAGGACTCTCTTAAAGGGACCACATTGTTGACCTAAAATACACAGGATTGCTTGCAGACTGAATACTTGATTCGTCAATTATGTACTTCATTTGGAGGGATTACTACCATTTGTTTTTTAAATTATCCATGATTATTTGTGAATTGTATTCATTTTTTTCTGTTCTAGTCCAAAAGCTTTACTTCTCTAATATTTTGGTTAATATGAATAATAGTGGCAAAATGGCATTTTAGAATTATTAATATTTCTAATATTTTAATGCGAGTTTTAGGAAACTTGGTTTTGATTCTTGACATTTCTATTCTAAAATCTCAGGTTATCTCCTGAACATTTTTGGGTCAGATGAACTTTTCTACCAAAAAATAGTCCTTATACTGAATTTTAATTTACATACAACTCAATCAAAATGAAGATTTAATAACCAGATTTCTTTCCCCAAAACATACATAATTTGTTGCTATTTTGATACTAAAATGTAGTAAGTACCCTCCCTCCCTCCCTCCCTCCCTCCCTCCCTTCCTTCCTTCCTTCCTTCCTTCCTTCCCTCCTTCCTTCCCTCCCTTCCTCCCTCCCTTTCTTCCTTCCTTCCTTCCTTCTTTCTTCCTTCCTTCTTCCTTTCTTTCTTTTGAGATGGAGTCTGACTCTTTTGCCCAGGCTGGAGTGCAGTGGCACAATCTCGGCTCCCTGCAGCCTCCCGGGTTCAAGCTATTCTCCTGTCTCAGCCTCTGGAGTAGCTGTGGGATTATAGGCATGTGCCACCACACCTGGCTAATTTTTGTATTTTTAGTAGAGACAGGGTTTCACCATTTTGGCCAGGATGATCTTGATCTCCGCCTCCGCCTCCCTCCTAAAGTGCTGGGATCACAGGCGTGAGCCACCTTGCCTGGCCTTTTTTTTCTTTTTTGAGACAGAGACTTGCTCTGTCGCCCAGACTGGAGTACAGTGGCATGATCTCAGCTCACTGCAAGCTCTGCATCCTGGGTTCAAACAATTTTTCTGCCTCATCCTTCAGAGTAGCTGGGGTTACAGGTGCCCACCACCATGCCCTGCTCATTTTTGTATTTTTAGTAGAGATGGTATTTTGCCATGTTGGCCAGGCTGATCTCAAACTCTGGCCTCAACCGATCTGCCTGCCTTGGCCTCCCAAAGTGCTGGGGTTACAGGTGTGAGCCACTGCGCCCAGCCCAGTAAGTACATTTTTTGTTACCAAAAAAAGAGTAGAGTATGACTAGTGTATTCTGTATAGAATGTATTCTATTGATGTCTTATATTTTTATAATTTCTGAGTTAAGTACTTTTTAATTATTGCTTTTTAGTTTTGAGAAGATTCAGTTGACTAAAGCACCTCATTTCCCAGATACATGAAATAAAATATTTGGCTTCTTAAGGAAATACAGTGAATTCCAGAGGAAGGAAGAATTCTAATCATAAGGTGGCAGGGAAAATAAATACCTCAAATTTCACATTGATGTTATTTTGTGAAAATCAGTGCTTTAAATTACATCTTTATACTGTAAAGTAAACATGAGAAACTTGATCTAATTAATATTTAGTATTTATTCAGTTTGTCTAACCTCTACACCAGCAAATTTTAAAATTATGTAACTATCTCAAGAAGTTTCACTTGGATGTGATGGCTCATACCTGTAATCCCAGCATTTTGGAAGGCTGAGGTGGGAGGATCACTTAAGGCCAGGAGTTCAAGACTAGCCTGGGCATTATAGTAACATCCCATCTCTATTTAAAAAATAAAAAGTTTCAGCAAATTTCACCTACAAATTGCACCACAATTTTGTTGTTTCCAATGTCTTGTTCCATGGATTTCAAGTCGTAAAGCCCTGAACTGTTAATTTATCTTGAGAATTTATATTTAAGCTTAATTTAAGTATACCTAAAAATTGAACATATAATTTGTATAATTTATTTATATGTTTCTATAAGTCATAAGTATATAGTTTACAAGTATATAATTTATCTGAATGTAATAGACAATGATATATTTTACATTATTGGGACAAGAGTAAAGAAATTTCTAAATGCTTTGTAAAATAAATTTTGTTTTTTGCATTTTGTAAAAGTAGTTAATACAATGGAAAAACTGTTTCATAATAATAAGATGCATTTGAACATCAAAAAATGTACCCAAGGTAATTATAAATACTATCTGATAAAACTTTACATAAGCTGTTTTATCACTTTTGTGATGGAAGAACAGTGTTTGCATTTTGTATAAAAGTAATTGGGGCTGGGTGTGGTGGCTTATATCTATAATCCCAGTGCTTTGGGAGGCCAAGGCAGGTAGATCGCTTGAGCCCAGGAGTTTGAGACCAACCTAGGCAACATGACAAGAGCCTGTTTCTCCAAATCACAAAAATTAGCCAAGCCTGGTGGTGTTAGCCTGTAGTTCCAGCTACTTGGGAGGCTGAGGTAGGAGAGGATCTCTCAAGCCTAGGAGGCCAAAGTTGCATAAATAAATGGATGCAACTGAATGACATGAGATTTCTCTTGAAAGAGCAAAAGAGATTTTAATAATAATAATAAGCCTGGGTGTGGTGGCTCACGCTCGTAATCCCAGCACTTTGGAAGGCCAAGGCAGGTGGATCCCTTGAGGTTAGGAGTTCAAAACCAGCATGGACAACGTGGTGAAACCCTAGCTAATACAAAAATTAGCCAGATATAGTGGCGTGTGCCTTTGGTCTCTGCTACTCAGGTGGTTGAGGCAGGAGAATCGCTTCAACCTGGGAGGCAAAGGTTGTACTGAGCTGATAAATATAAAAAATATTTAAGTACTAACAGAGGAAAATTTCCACTGACCACCCTTTAGCTTTAAATAATATGCCCAGTTTACTTGTAATTAAAAATCATGCATCATTCACAATTTGTCTTTTTTGTTTGTGCAAAAACTATCTTTTATCTGTATTGTGATTGATTTGGTGAGAGGGAATTAGGCCACTCAAGAGTTTGTGCATGTTTAAAATTTTCTGGCCAGGTGGAGTGGCTCACACCTGTAATCCCAGCACTTTGGGAAGCCAAGATGGGCAGATCACTTGTGCTCAGGAGTTTGAGACCAACCTGGACAACATGGTAAAAACCTATCTCTACCAAAAATACAAAAATTAGCTGGGTGTGGTAGCTTGCACCTGTCCTCCCAGCTGAGGCAGAAGGATCACTTGAGCCTAGGAGGCGGAGGTTGCAGTGAGCCTTGATTTTGCCACTGCACTCCAGCTAGGGTGACAGAGCAAGACGCAGTCTCAACAAAAAAGAAAAAAAGAAAGAATTAACTTTGGTATTTCAGGTTGTATTTAAATAGGGACTTAATATCAATTATGTTCACTACAATTGACCAAATTAAGTGTAAATAGTCTCTTTAATAGATGATCTGGAATTGCAGTTTCTAACTCATACATCGTTGCTATAAACCTTATTTGTTTACTGCTTCTCTTCCAAGGACTATCAGTCATCCTTTAAGATTCACCTGAAGCTATGAAAAGATATTTTTTTTACACGGGCAACTTACTTTGAGTTCAGTAAAATGTTATGTGAATTTCTACAGAACGTTTGCCAAAATGAATTATATCTAGAATATGCTTAACAATATATTCTGGAGGCAGCTTTCATTTGAAATTAGGTTCATCTTCTGAGAGTATTAAAAAGTTAATGGGTTTTTGTGGCTGAAGATTTTGACATTGCATTTGGCTACATTTAATTCAGTTTCACCCATAAGGTTTAGCATCTAAAGGAATTAAATCACTGCTAATGTAATTAAAATGATTGAAAATGTTTCTTTTAATACTTTCCACAGCTGATACATGAAAAGGGAAATCTGGGGTTTAAAGATAAAGTGTGTGCTGGAGTTGAAAGGTTAGGAACTGTGAAGATCTGTGAACTGTAGCCAACTGAGCGCATAGAAGGCAGTAATTACTAACTGAGGCATGTTTTTGGTATATATCAAGTGAAAACGTCTTTTCCTTGTTCTCTTCTGCTTTGTGTGTCCTTCTCTTAACTGCGTCTTTATTCATCCATGTCTTCATTCCTCTTTCTTTGTCCACAACCCAACAAACCCACTGCTCTCTGCTCTCACTCCCTGTCTGTGCCATGACCACTCAAACATTCCCGGAGGGCAGAATAATTGTAATGAGGGTAAGGGCCAGGGCACTTAAGGACTCAACAGCCTTGCTTTAGAGAGGATGGTAGCAGAGGATCCTCTCTGGTGTCTGGGAGAAGAACAGGAGGAATGACCATCCCAGGATGAATTTATTTGTATTTTTGAGATGGAGTCTCACTCTGTCGCCCAGGCTGCAGTGCAATGGGATGATCTTGGCTCACTGCAACCTCTGCCTCCTGAGTTCCAGCAATTCTCCTGCCTCAGCCTCCCAAGTAGCTGGGACTACAAATGTGCGCCACCATACCCAGCTAATTTTTGTATTTGTAGTAGAGATGGGATTTCACCATGTTGCCCAGGCTGGTCTCGAATGCCTGACCCCTAGTGATCTGTCCATCTCAGCCTCCCAAAGGGCTAGGATTACAAGCATGAGCCATCATGCCCAGCCTAGGAAGAATTTTGAACTGAGTAAATATCAGGTGCCTCTTTCTTTTCTGAGACCCTATATCTTCCAAATTAGTTCTTACTTTCTTCCCCTCACCCTTCAAAACTTCAGTTTTTTCATCTTGCTGATTTTAGCTATGTGCTAGAAAAGTAGGTTTGGGCACAATGGCTCACACCTATAATCCTAGCACTTTGGGAGGCTGAGGTGTGAGGATCACTTGAGGCCAGGCACTGAAGACCAGCCTGGGAAACACAGTGAGACCCTATCTCTACTACAGCAACAACAAATTAGCTGGGTGTGATGTCATGCACAAATATTCCTGAGTACTCGGGAGGCTGAGGCGGGAAGATCACTTGAGGCTGGGAAGCTGCATTGAGCTGTGATTTTGCCATTTGGGTGACAGAGCAAGACCCTGTCTCAAAAAAGTAGGTTCAGTAAGCTAATTTACTGAGATGCAGAAAACAGCTTTTTTGAGTTTTTATTTTATATTTTATCTATTTTTATTGCTTTTTGAGACAGAGTCTCGCTCTGTCACCCAGGCCGGAGTGCAGTGATGTGATATCGGCTCACTGCCATCACCACCTCCCAGGTTTAAGCAGTTCTCCCTGCCTCAGTCTCCAGAATAGCTGGGATTACAGGTGCCAGCTCCCACGCCCGGCTAATTTTTGTATTTTTAGTAGATACGGGATTTCATCATGTTGGCCAGGCTGGTTTCAAACTCCTGACCTCAGGTAATCCACCCACCTCAGCCCTCCCAAAGTCCTGGGATTACAGGCGTGAGCCATGGAGCCTGGCCTTGATCTGTTATTTTCTAATCTTCATATTTACATCGGTGCCCTGTTTCTCTGAGCCACAGGCCACAATGTCCTTTTCATATTCTAGGTAGAAAGTATTGTAAAAGCAATACCAACGATTGCATCTTTAAGTTTAAATTTCATGTAGACATATATTAAAATTTTGATGTCATATGATTTTGTGTGTATGAAAATAAATGAATCTTAGTTAAATACAACAAATGACTGGCTACTTTGTGTTTTTGGTGATCTGATTATTCTGGGAAATATTTAAAGGTAATTAGATTTATACTCTGTAATCTTTCCTTTATTGCCAATATCAGATTAACACATTTACTCTGGCTGGAGATACAAGTTGTTCTTGTCTATTCATATATGTTCTTTACATCACTTATTGAAGTCTTCCAAATGTTAACCTATTTTTTAATTTTTTTCTATTAAAAAAGTTTTTTTGGCTGGGCACAGTTCATGTCTGTAATCCCAGCTTTTTGGAAGGCCAAAGTGGGTGGATCACATGAGGCCAGGATTTCAAGACCAGCCTGGCCAACATGGTGAAATCCCGTCTCTACTAAAAATATAAAAATTAGCCGGGCGTGGTGGCAGGCACCTGTACTCCCAACTACTCCAGAGGCTGAGTCAGGAGAATCACTTGAACCTGAGAGGCAGAGGTTGCAGTGAGCCAGAATTATGACACTGCACTCCAGCCTGGGTGACAGAATGAGACCCTGTCTCAAAACAAACCAATACCATACAAAAACAAAACAAATTTTTTTTTTTAACTGGCTCCCAATTGGCTATGGAAAAATGTCAGCCTATTTTACAGATATGTATGTACTGTCATAGAGGTGAAAATCTAGAGTTGAATTCATTCCCAGGGGACTTCCTAGAAAACCATTCTTCTTGTAGCATAAGTAGAAAAAAAACGCAGTGTTAAGATTTCTGTTGGTCTGGTACGGAGGCCCAAGCCTGTAATCAGTACTTCGGGAGGCTGAGGTGGGTGGATCACCTGAGGTCAGGAGTTCGAGACCAGCCTGACCAGCATGGTGAAACCCCATCTCTAGTAAAAATACAAAAAAATTAGCCAGGCGTGTGGCCGGAGACTATAATCCCAGCTACTTGGGAGGCTGAGGCAGAAGACTTACTTGAATCCAGGAGGTGGAGGTTGCAGTGAGCCAAGATCGCACCACTGCACTCCAGCCTGGGCAACAGAGCAAGACTGTCTCAAAAAAGAAAGAAGTGAACATATAGCTACTGCACAGAGTAGGACGTTCTTGAAAGTAAGAGGAGGAATGAATCAACCCTAGGTATGATACTCAAAGATACGGGAGATGTGCTCTGCGATAAAGGATTTTTTAATTACTATATTTTGCAAGAATCAATACTATTTTATTTTTTAATTGATTAATTTAAAAGAGACGGGGTCTCGCTATGTTGCCCAGGCTGGAATGCAGTGGCTATTCACAGGTGCATCCCACTACTGATCAGCACAGGAGTTCTGACCTGCTCCATTTCCGACCTGGGCCGGTTCACCCCCTCCTTAGGCAACCTGGTGGTCCCCCTGCTCCCGGGAGGTCACCATATTGATGCCAAAGTTAGTGCGGACACCCGATCAGCATAGTGCACTACAGCCCAGAACTTCTGGGCTCAAGCGATTGTCCAGCCTCAGCCTCCTGAATAGCTGGGACTACAGGCACACACCACCGCGCCCGGCAATTATTTTATTAATCTTTTTTTTTTTGAGACGGAGTTTCACTCTTGTTACCCAGGCTGGAGTGCAATGGCGCGATCTCGGCTCACTGCAACCTCCACCTCCTGGCTTCAGGCAATTCTCCTGCCTCAGCCTCCTGAGTAGCTGGGATTACAGGCACGCGCCACCATGCCCAGCTAATTTTTTGTATTTTTAATAGAGATGGGGTTTCACCATGTTGACCAGGATGGTCTTGATCTCTTGACCTCGTGATCCAGCCACCTCGGCCTTCCAAAGTGCTGGGATTACAGGCGTGAGCCACCGTGCCTGGCTCTATTTTATTATCTTTAAAGCAAAATTAGGAATGCTTTTGTTCTCCAGATATTGGGACATCTGGACACTCCCAAGTCTGTATCTGTTTAGTAAACATTGTTAATTTGTTCCCTTAACTCTAAACATCTAGAGGGCTAGGACTGCCTACCTTTCTGGGCATGCAGCCCAGCAAGTCCCGGCCTCATTTTCCTAGCACTCACTTAAGATGGAGTTGCTCTGGTTTGAATGCCTCTGACAGTACACTATTGTCAGGTCTCCATACGCAAGCCTGGAGCCTGAAAGTCTGAAGTCCTGCTTGCCTCCAGCTGAAGTCCCACCATCTGCCTGCGTTTGCCATTGTCCCTGATCTCCCAGCGGAGCTTCCCACAGGCCCCTCACCCCACCCTGCCATTTTAACTGTTCTTATGATAATGTAAATACCTCTCACCCAACCCTGCCATTGTAACTGAACTTGTGTACTCCTTGCCCCTACCCCCTGCCCCACTGTAACTGAACTTACTCTGCAACCCCCCCCGCCCCCCGGCTGCCAAAAAACTCCCCAAACCTATAAAACCAACTCCTGTCCCACTGCCCTTTGCTAATGCCCTTTTTGGCCTTAGCCCATCTGTACCCAGGTAAACATGGTGCTCACACAAAGCCTGTTTGGAAGGTCTCTTCATTCAAAGCAAATGTTTTTCAACAACTCTGTCAATAAAAACAATTAAACTCTGTAAAATATTTTAAGAGGTTTATTTTGACCCAAATATGAGTGACCAAGGCCTGAGGAATAGTCAAGATGTCCTGAGAACATGTGCCCAAGGTGGTTGGGTTACAGCTTGATTTTATACATCTTAGGGGGACAGAAGTTACAGGCAGACGTCTGTCCATGAATGTAAGGTGTACATTGGTTAGGCCCAGAAGGAAGGATATAACTAGAAGTGGCAGGAAGTGGAGCTGAGGGGTGGGGGAAAGCTACTAGGTCATAGGTGGATTTAAAGATCTGATGGCAACTGGTTGAAAAGGTTAAGCTGTGCACTCTGAAGTCAGTAGAAAGAAATGTTTGTAGTTAAGATAAAGTGGGCTGTGGAAGGCAAGGTTCTTGCTATGTAGATAAAGCCTCCAGGTGGCAGACTGCAGAGAATAGATGGTAAATATCTCCTATCAGACCCTAAAAGGTGCCAGACTTAGTTAAATCTCTCCTGGATGAGGGAAAGACATGGAAAAGGAATGAGATTCTTTACAGAATGTAGATTTTTCACAAAAGAGATAGCTTTACAGGGCCATTTCGTAATATGTTAAAAGGATATATTTTGGGAGCCCGCGCGGTGGCTCACGCCTGTAATCCCAGCACTTTGGGAGGCCTTGGTGGGTGGATCACCTGAGGTCAGGAGTTCAAGACCAGTCTGGCCATCACGGTGAAACCCTATCTTTAAATAAAATAAAATATATTTTGGGGTAAAATACTTGGATTTCTTTCAGGGCTTACTATCTGTCCTGACTAGGGTCAGGCTTTAATTTGGTATCTTATTGCTACAAAGGGTCTATTTTGTCAGTCTTAAGCTCTGTGGGTTTTTTTAAATTATTATTACTATTATTATTATTTTTTGAGATGGAGTCTCACTCTGTTGCTCAGGCTGGAGTGCAGTGGCATAATTTTGGCTCACTGCAACCGACACCTCCTGGGTTCAAGTGATTCTCCTGCCTCACTGGGATTACAGACAAGACATGCACCACAATGCTCAGCTAATTTTTGTATTTTTAGTAGAGACAGGGTTTTACCATGTTGGCCAGGCTGGTCTTGAACTCCCGACCTCAGACGATCTACCCACTTGGCTTCCCAAAGTGCTCAGATTACAGGCGTGAGCCAACGTGCCAGCTTAAGATCTCTGTTTTAATGTTAATACTGGTCAGTTGTGTCTGGATTCCAGCTGGAGGAAGGTATAATGAGGAAGGTTGACACCTCCCCTTCCCATCATGGACTGAGCTGGTTTTTCCAGTTTACTCTGGAATGCCCCTGGCCAAGAGGAAGTGTCCATTCAGCCACATTGGGAGGCTTGGAATTTTATTTTTGGTTTACATCTAAACTATCACAGCATAAAGTAGGAGGAATATTCATTACTGTCTGGTTAAACTGGTTAACACAGATAAGAAGTCTGAAAATTCCAGTTTTAAAGGAAAATTCTGAAGGTTATACAGTTGATTATTTGGCAGAGCTGTGATGCTTGATCTTGCATTATGGTTTTGCTGCCAGGGTAGACTTTAAGAATCTGTATATTTTTTTCTAGACTCTATATATTCCCTATGAGTATTAGTTGAATGATCAAATTGTCAAAGTTTAGCATAGGTATAAATAATAGAGAACGCAGAAGAAAAGAGTGAGAGATAGTTAATGTAAGGCTCGTTGCCTCGCCAGGAGGCTGGACACACCCACCTCTGCACTCAGCACCTGACTCTGCACCTGGCACCAGGCTCTGCACTCGGCACCTAGCTCTGCCCCTCAACCTTACGCCAATTAAATCCTACCCACAAATCCTCCACCATATGTGGAACCCCAGCCCCCCTCCAGCTCCTCCTCATCCTGGTTCCGACCTAGCCTCTCCTGTCAGTGCTCACACTCGCTCACGCTGTGCTCCTAACAATGAAACCTCCCTCCTTTGCCCCCTTCGCAAGGTCACTGGAGCGGAAAGCGTTGTCCGAGTACATGTTCCCTTCTCCCTCTCTGATCTATCAACCATTGAGAAATGCCTAGGGTCATTTTCCACCAATCCTACTGCTTACACCAAAAATTCCGCTACCTCACCCAGGCTTACGACCTCACCTGGCATGATACCTATGTAATTCTGTCCTCCACCCTCACTCCAGATGTGTGATTACATCCCTACAGCGGCCTGGGCACACACTGATCAGGTACATCTCACAGATAATCAGATGCCAATAGGTGTGGCGGCAGTCCCCAAGGCCAACCCTAATTGAAACTATCAAACTGGTCAAGATGGCCACCGCTGCTGAGACCAAATGCTACAGTGCCTCCTAGTGGGCATGCAAAGCGCAGCCCAAAAGGTAGTTAATTATGGTAAGTTAAGGGAAATAACTCAGGGTCCTACTGAAAAACCCGCCGCCTTCCTTGACCGATTAACTAATGCTATGATCCTTCATACCCGGCTGGACCTGGCCTCTTTATTGGGGGATACAGTTCTAGCCACACATTTCATCTCTCAGTCAG